CATCTGGTCTTTGCTCATTAGTGTTCAAGGCCTCAAACCTGTTCCTGAGATGATTCTGAAATTCAGGTGGGATGAAATCAAAGTCATATTTTGGCTCCTGTGGATTCAGTTTCATTTTCCTCAGCGTCAGCTTGAACTTGGATATGAGTAGTTGGTGATCTGTTCCACAATCAGCTCCTGGCCTAGTTTTCACAGCTGATATTGAGCTTCTCCGGCAGTTCTTTCCGAAGATGTAATCGATCTGATTCCTATACATACCATCAGGTGAAATCCATCTATATAACCTACGTTTGTCTCTTAAAAAAATGTATTCGCAATGAATAAGTTATTGATTGTTCAAAATTCAATCATTCTCTCTCCAGCTCCATTTCTGTCACCGATTCCATGTTTTCCAACTACTGATTCTTCTTCCCTATTCCCAACTTTTGCATTCCAGTCACCCATTATTATCAATGCATCCTGATTGTGTGTTCATCGATCTTCGACTGCAAAAGTTGGTAAAAATCTTCTATTTCCTCTTCCTTGGCTCTGGTTGTTGGTGCATATATCTGAATGATAGAAAGTGAGTAGGAACTGAAATATTTGCTAAAAAAGATCAAAGACTAGTGTTAGGTGCTGTGAGGTTAAGTACAACCCGCAGCTACTCTTCGAAAAATAGATCTAAACCCTATCTTTTCCAGTGCTATCCTCAATCTGACACACTCAAGGCTATTACTGCAGTCATTAACAATTCACCTGGTTGAGGGTCTTCCTCTCCTTTGCCATCATCGCTCCACCTTCCCAAGCATGATGTTCCTCTCCAAAGAAGAGCCATGCCCAGCAACATGCTCAAAGTTTGCCTCCAAGGAGCATTCAGGCTGCACTGTCTCCAAGACATAGCTTTTTATTCTTCTGTCAGTCCATGGGATATTCTCCAACACCACAACTCAAAAGTATTAGTAATTCTTCTGTCATTTTCTTCATTGTCCATTTCTCAGTAGCAAAGCATGATATGATCAAACCATGACATGATCCAATCAAACATTTGATCAACAACTACAGCCTTCAATATGGATTACATCTTAACACTAAGGAAAGAAAAATCCTTACCACTGGGCTGATAGCATCTTAAGGACAAAAGACTGAAACTGTTAACAATTTCATCTTACGTGGATCCACAATCAGCACGCTTGGTATCAATAGTCAAGAAATCAAAAGATGTATTACTATGAGGCAATCTGCTGCCAGGGACTTCTCAGAAGTACTTAAGCACAGTTGAAGACCAAAGTGTGTCTTTCAATTACCTGTTATGTGTCAAAATGACTGCCAAAGGAACAGTTATGATTTGGAGAAGGTGGTAAGTAAGGATGGCCAAGCTTCATCTTATAATTTTGGCATTTTTCCAGAAAAGGACATCATGCTATGAAAGGTGGGAAGTCGATAAAGAGATGAAGAATCTTAATGAGATAGGCTGACAGTGACTACAGCAACATATTCAAAGTATGTCTCCAAGGAGCACTCAGATTGCACATTCTCCAAGAAATCGGCTCAAGAATGTAAGAGATGATGATGACGATGGTCTAAGATATGGCAGAGTTCACATCTATTGCTCACAGGGTTGCTAGGAGTTGTACTCAACATGAGGACACCTAACAACACCAAAATGGGCAAACAGCACAGAAGAATGGAAGTCTTTGAACTGCAGTAAAGAAGAGCACTGAATAAGCTATGGACTGCACAAAGAACAAATATATCTTCAAGAAATTGCAATCAGGCTGCTCCTTAGAGGCAAAAAATAGTGCAACTTCTTACATATTTTGGCATGTTGTCAGGCAGGACCAGAGACTGTGAGGACGGCTCAGAATAGGGCAAAGTGCAGGTATCTTGTTCCCTTGGTTGGTATTATTCATAGTTAATTTGAAAACACCTAACAACAACCTGATAAAGGCATGCTGCTAACAAACACTATAACACATAAGAAAATTATTCCAGTGAAAAGGAAGATGTAAAATGACAAATAAAATTACTTTTCCATGCTAGACACAGAGTAAGATGCATTTTGCCACTAAAAGGGATAATATCTTATTCTTATAAATGAGAGAACTATGAAGAGTGATTTCAAATCAGGTGACATTTAACAGAAGATGAGTTTACGATAGTAACGTGTAATCCATGACTTATAAAGCAGTCCTGGTAACTCTTGAGAAAGAAAAAATAGGGGTGAAAATGGAGACTATCTGGGACGCTGGGCTCTATGAGGAGAAATGTGGGGTCAGGACTGGTGGAAGATCTAGCAACAATCTGCGTTATGCAGATGACACAACCCTGCTTGCTGAAACTGAGGAGGACCTAAAGCACTTGCTGCAGAGAGTCAAGGACTGCAACCTCCAATACAGATTGAGGCTCAATGTCAAAAAGACAAAGATTGGCAATTGGCAGCATCAGGATGAATGGTGAAGAGACTGAGATTGTTCACAGTTTGCTTGGCTCCACAGTCAAGACTTGGCAACAGTAGCTAGGAAATTAAAAGACGTGTTGGTGCAATGGGAAAGTCTGCTGTTAGGGACCTCTCCAAAGTACTTAAGAGCAATGGTGTCTCTCTGGAGACTAAGGTGCATCTGATACAGGCCCCGGTCTTTGCAATCACTTGTTATGCATCAGAGAGTTGGACAATTACTAGGGAGGACAGAAGGAGAATTGATACCTTTGAGCTGTGGTGCTGGAGAAGAGTACTGAATGTACCATGGACTGCTAAGAAAACAAACAGGTTCATCCAGGAGAGGGTTAAACCAGGCGGCTTCTTGGAGGCACGGATTCTGAGGCTTCGTCTGACATACTTTGGACATGCTGTAAGGAGGGACAGGTCCTTAAAGAGGGACATTATGCTTGGGAGGGTGGAGGGACAGCGCAAGAGGGGAAGGCCCTCTATGAGGTGGATTGATTCAGTGACTGGGGTAATCTGGATGGTTGTGTTGGACAGGACAGAGCAGAGTTTATGTATGTTGTACATAGGGTCGTTATGAGTTGCAAGCAACTTGAGGGCACATAACAACAACAACAACAACAACAACATTGTTCTGCTTTTCCCCCCTGCCCAACCCCTCGCCCAATTCACTCTTCTCCTTGAAAAGTAAAACTCTTTCATTGTTATGTAATCCCTCCCCACAAATCCACTCCACTGTGAAGCCTTCATTCTGGACTCCTGTCATGATAATAATACCCAATTATAAATCCCTTTTAAACAGTTATCTCCCTTGTCTGTTTCAATGTAGTATACATCATTCATCCATCCATCCTTCTCTGGCTTCCCTAAACCCCAATGTCAGTCCCGTTTTAAAACAGTGGCCCTATTGACATCCAAGCAGATATATGCACGCCCATGTTTATCGCGGCTTTGTTCACAATAGCAAGGAGTTGGAAACAACCCAAATGCCCATCAACAAATGAATGGCTAGAGAAGCTGTGGTATATTCACACAATGGAATACTCACTGCATTGAACAACAAGGAACTCATGCAGTATTATTCAAAATGGGTTAACCTGGAGGACATTATGCTGAGTGAAATATCTCAGTCACAAAAAAGACAAATACTGCATGGTGCCACTGTTGTAGAATAGAACTGACATCAGGGTTGGGGTAAGACTGAGAAAAACTGGATAAATTACGTATACTGAAAACAGATTGAGGGAGAGAACAATTTAAAAGCGATATATGATAGGGTATTATGGTTATCACAAGAGTCCAGAATTAAGGTTGCATAGTGGAGTGTACTCTGGGCGGTGGACAGCGGAGGTTGGTGTGCGGTGCGGGGGGATTGTATACCAATGAAAATATTTTTCTTTTACTTTTCAAAGAGAGGAGTGAACTCAGGGGGAGGGCTGGGCAGGGAGAAAAGTGCAACAATGAATGAATGGAAATACAAAATCTCTGTAAATGTTCATTAAAATTAAGAAAATTAAAAAATAAAAAAAAAACAACACACCAGGGCCCTATGCAATATTTGTCCTTTTGTGACTGAGATATTCCACTCATAATGTCCTCCAGGCTCACCCATTTTGTATATCATAAGTTCCTTGTTTTTCAATGCAGCATAGTATTTCATTGTGCGAATATACCAGAGATTCTTTATCCATTCTTTTGTTGATGGGCACTTGGGTTGTTTCTAGATCTTTGCTATTGCGAACAAAGCTGCAATAAACATAGGTGTGCATATATCTGCTTGGGTGACGATTATGGTTTCTTTAGGGTAAATTCCCAGTAGTGGAACTGCTGGGTCAAATGGTATTTCTATTTGCAACTTTCTGAGTAAGCGCCATACAGCCTTCCATAGAGGTTGTACCATATTACACTCCCACCAACAGTGAAACAAGGGTTCAAGTTTCTCTACAACCTTGCCAGCATTTGATGTATGCTGTTCGATTAAATTTTGCTGTTCTTACTGGGGTGAGATGATATCTCATGGTTGTTCTCAGAAATTTTTTATGATATTAAGGGTAATTTATATAATTAATTGAAGTATAATCAATTGTTTACCACTTTTCCTTTCACTCAGCTATTTACTAATTTTCACAAACCTCTCCCTCTCTTCCCACTTCCTCCTCCTATCTTTCCAAGACTGATTCTGCATGTAAATCCTTCCTTAGCTTTTTATAAAAGTGATCTTATCCATAATTATCTTTTTATGACTGACTTATGTCACCCACTTCAATTTGTTCTGGGACTATCTGTGTTGTGTAGAATTTTATGAACTCATTATTTCTTTTTTTTTTTTTTATTTTGTGTGTGTGTACCGTCAAATCAGATCTGACTGGTACAGGAGGATATTGCTCCTCCTTCTCCGGCAGAGCATCTGGTGGATTCAAACCATGAACTCATTATTTCTGAATGATGGCACAATATCCCATTGAAAAGCACAATGAAATATTTTAAGTTTCACATACTTAGGGCTGTGGAGATAAAATTCACTTAGTTTAACCAAATAACTAACATTCAACATGGAGAATTTATCAAAAATACTTACATAACTGTATTGTCATCCACCAAGATATCACAACCATGAGCAGGACATGAAATCGTCTGAAAAAGATTTATTCAAGTTCAAACTACATCTTCATTCAATATGTATTTACCAAATCCCAGTTATCATCATCACCACACACTATGCTAGATTCTGAGGATTTAACATACATTCTTTTTTTTCTATTAAAAGAAAGTATATATGTATGTGTGTGTAGCAAGTATCTTAACTAGAACTGTGATCTGAATAATAGGTTTTTTGACCTACTGTTAAAACAAAAGGCAAAAACTCCTCAAGAAATTTAGGCCAATATATTCAAGCATAGATTCCACTGACAAAATTACCCTGGTAAAATCAGTAACTGGACTGTCACACTGTCAACAGAAGAGGGTGTGGGAATAAACCAACTCTGCCATTAATTGTAGTTAGAAAGGAGTTCCCATGGAATTAATAATCTAAAAGACTGTCCTGTTTATATCTATACAAGTGTCTAAACACTGTAGAAAATTCACACAAAAAATGTAAAATAAATTAGTCTCGGTACCTGTCCCATGCCTTCCTCCATTATTTTGGTAGTTAAATATTCACTCCAGCACTGCATGCAGAACTTATGGCCACATTCAAGACCAGTGAAATACTGCAACAAAAATAAGGTAAAAACTTTTAACAATAACATTATCCAAAAATTCACTAAATAGTCTGACTAAAGTTTTGAAAATGTGTCCATTAGGTACACACTTCTTAAAGGGACTAAAATAGACAATTTGACAACAGTTAGGTTTCAAAAATTAACTTCTAGGTGGTGAAATCCAGATATTGAATACAAAACAATAAAATAAATGCACTGTGTATATCTGTCATTTTTAGGAAAAGGATGTAACAAAACTAAGTTTATGTTAAATATATGCCATGTATCAATAAACACATGAAAAAGAGGTTCAGTACCATTATTCTCCAAGAAAATTAAACTACAATGAAATCACTCTTCCACATCCATTAAAGAACAAGGGGGTGGGGGGAAGCCAAGAGTCACTGAGTTAATCCTGCACCAAGAAATTTTTTCATCATTTTTATGGATGTGAATGTCAGTCCTTTGTCTGACAGTGTATATTGTCTGTACCAAACTTTCATACCCCGTAAACCAAACGCACTGCTCAGCAGATTCTGACTCACAGTGACCATGAAGGGTAAAAGTCTCACAGGGTTCCCAAGGCTGTCCTCTTTATGCAGGTGCACTGTCATATCTTTCTTCTATGGAGTGTATGGTGCATTTGAACTGATGACCTTTTAGTTCGCAGGTGAGTACTTTGTCACTATGCCACAAGGGCCCTTTTCACATGCACTAGGGAGTTCTACATTAAAAACAAATTATAAACACTGGTGAGGATGTGCAGAAATTCATTCTCTACACACTGCTGATCTGAGTATAAAAACTCTTTTAGTATAATGTGTAATGTGGATGTTAACAAAAAGGGTAGTGGCTCAAATGCACCAATTACACCTCCAGACAATGTGGATAATTTCCTCCTGTAAAGATTTAAAACCTTAGAAATCCAAGAGAGTCATTAGACTAGGAATGCACCCAATTCTTTGGGTAATGGTGGTGGTGTTGAGTCAAGCATGACTCATAGCAACCCTATGAACAAAAGGCCTGAAACTGCTCTAAAACTCTTCACATTTATCAAACAAAGTTCACAGTTTCTGGAGGAGTGTTGTTTAGGAAATTCCTGCTTCCAAACCTGTCATAGAATGATACTGAGTTGTCTGCGATGCTTAACAACCCTACATACAGCTGCTCCTGAGCCAGTCTCACTAATGCCGCCACATCAACCCCCACTGCCCCAGTTACTTTATCAATCATCATCTCTCCTGTGCTGTCCGTGCACCCTTCTGAGCATGATATCCTTCTCCAAGGACTGCTCTCTCTTGGCCATATGCCAAAAGTAAGTGATAAGGAGCTTCAAAATCCTAGCCTCCAAGGAGAGACTTGGTTTCACCCTCTCCAAGACAGACCTATTTGTTTTTGTGGCAGTCCATAGTATGTTCAAGAATCCTCTCCAGCACCACAAATCAAAGGCATCTATTCTTCTGTCATTCTTAGTCACTGTCCAACTTTACGAAACATAACAGGTAATTGAGAAAACCATGGCCTGGATTAGGTGCACCTTTGTATCTAGACTGACATCATTGCTCTTAAGCACTCTGGAGAGGCCCATGAAAGATTTTCCCAATGCAATTTATCTTTTGATTTCCTGACTGCTGATATTAAGTGTGTTGACTGTGGATCCAAGCAAGCTATATAATAGCTAACAACGTCAATCTCTTCTCCATCTATTATGGTGCTGATAAGTGGTCCAGTGGTGAGAATCTTTGTCTTCTTGATGTTGAGCTTCAATCCATATTGAAGACTACAGTCCTTGACCTTTTGCAGCAAGTGCTTTAGGTCTTCTTCAGTTTCAGCATGCAAGGTTGTATTATCTGCATATCGTAGCTTGTTAATAAGTCTCCCTCCAACCTTGATGCCACACTCCTCCTCATAATGCCCTGCTTCCCGAATGATCTGTTCTGCATACAGATTTAAAAGGTATGGGAACACGATGCATTCCTGACGTACTCCTTTCTTGATTTTGAACCATGCAGTGCGCTTCCTTGCTCTGTTCTGAGAACTGCTTCTTGGTCCAAGTATAGGTTTTGCATAAAGATAATCAAGTATTCTGAGATTTCCATTTTTCTCAAGGTTAGACACAATATATTATGACCCTCCACACTCAAATGCCTTTGCATAGTCAATGAAACACAGAGAGACATTCTGGTACTTTCTGCCAAGATCCATCTGACATTGGAAATAATGTATGTATTGCCATGACCTCTTCTAAACTCAGCCTATCAATGTACTGTTCAAGTATTTTCTGGATAATCTTCAGCAGGATTTTGCTAGTGTGTGCTAGTGATATTGTAGGATAATATCCACACTCTGTCAGGTCACTTTTTTTTTGGAATGGGAATAAATATGGATCTCTTCCAATCTGTTGGTCAAGTAGTTGTCCCTGGTGAGCACAAGAAGGGCACCATCTGTTTGCTCAATCAATTGGCATTCCATTAATTCCTGGTGCTTTAAGTTTTGCCAACTCCTTCATAGCAGCCTGAACTTCCTCCTTCATGTCCACTGCCTCTTGCTCATATGCTGTTTCTTCAAATTCTTCTGGGTCAGTCAATTCTTTTTGGTACAATGACTCTGTATATGCCTTCCATCTGCTCCTAATGCTTCTTGAATCATTCAATATCCTGCCCATAGCATCCTTAAGCATTACAATTCGTGGCTTGAATTTCTTTACTTCTTTCAGCTTAAGAAATGCTGAGCAAACTCGGCCCTTTTGATTTTCTGACTCCAGCTCTTTTCACATTTCATCATAATATTTTGCCTTGTGTTCCTGAGCAGCCCTCTGAAATCTATTCAGCTTCTTAACTTCTTGGTTTCTTCCCTTTGCTTTGGCTTCTCAGTCCTCCAGAGCAACATCCAGAGTCTCTTCTGACATCCACTAGGTCTTTTCCTCTTCTTCCTTCTTAGTAATGACTTTTTGCATTGTTCATGAACGATATTCTTGCTATCTTCCCAAGTGTTCCTTTAAGTGTTCACTAGTTCTTTTTGGTGTAGTTAATCTGTGTATTCCTTCCATCTTTTTCAATCATTCCTGGATCATTCAAGATTTTGGGGTTTTTTTTAGTTCTTCTGACATAAGAAATGCTGAGCAAATTTTTCCCTTTTTATTCTGACTCCACTTATTTGCACATTACGCTGTAATGCTTTGCTTTGGCTTCTCTAGCTAACCTTGGTGTTACGTGCTGTCAAGCCACCTGCAATTCATAGCGACCCTATGTACAATAGTTCTGAACTCAATTCTATCTTGAGCCAATCTTACTGTCTGGCACATCTAATCCTATTATCCCAGACACTGAGTCAATTCATCTCACTGAGGTCTTCCTCTCTTGCACTGTCCCTCCACCCTCCTAAGCATGATGTTCCTTCTCAAAGGACTGGTCCTTCTTGGCAATATACCCAAAGTATATCAGACAAAACTTCAGAATCCTTGCCTCCAAGGAACAGCCTGATTTCATCCTCTCCAGGACAAACCTGCTTATTTTTGCTAGCAGTCCATAGTATACTCAATATTTTCTCCAGCACCACAGCTCAAGGCATCAATTCTCCTTCTATCATCTCTAGTCACTGTTCAGCTTTCCTTAGCAGTTGATTATTTCAACAAGTGAAGACCTCTTCAGTGTTACCACTCATCTTGTAACTTTCCTATTGTTTGGCTAAAGTAGAGAACCACAGGGGTGAGTTTTGTTTCAGGTTCAAAGTGTGAGTAAAGACTAGTCTTGGGAGTTTCCATCACAGTTATTTCTATGCTTTTGAATTCTGTTCCATAGTTTGTTTCCATTTAATCTATGATCTTCTACTGTGATCTCCTTTAAAGTGGTAAGCAGTAGCAGCCAGGCACCAGCTCGCTCTTTTGGTTTCAGAGCTGTGGAAATTGAGCTGTGCAGGATTCACTAGCCCTTATGTTTCCATCTACTTTTGCTTTTCTTCCTTCTTTCTCTCAGAAATGGGTGATACTTTAGATGGTTGGTTGTAAGCTCTTAAGACCTCAGTTGCTACTTTAAAAAAATACATTGAAAAAAAAATACATTGAAGGCAGTGTTTTTGTAGGCTATTATGCCTAATGACCTTGATGTCCCTCACAACTGTAGTCCTGAGGACCAAGGAACAGAAATTCATTCCTTTCAGAGTAAATTATTCCTTCAGGGTTGCAATTTTAACTATATGGAGCTATCTGTATGACTTTACTTACAGTATATACAAAAGAATGTAAAAATATCTTCCAGAATTATGTCTGACCATGAATTTTGTTTCTTTCCCCTGTCAATGTTGCCTGTCCAGTCTACAGACTCATTTGTAAGTTAACGTAGAAACAGTATTTAAATAGTACTGAGTTTACATTGAAAACTAAGTCCCTCATCCTAATCCTTGATCTCTACTTCCTCTATCCAGAAGCAATATTACCTAAGCTTTTAATAGCTTCCAATGTAATAATCTTCTAATGTACAAACAAATCATACAAGTACACTTTCAACTATGCACATGTATACACATATACACAGCTGGAGTATTAAATTTTCTGTTCCGCATGTTAATTTTTCTATTGATTCTGATGTGGTTCCACACTTTTCAAGGTCAGTCTATAGGTACTTAATTTACTTAAAAGTGTTTACATGTGTGTGAAAATAGTCAAAACTAACAATTTTTAGACATGTATTTCACACTGATGAAACTTACATACTTCGCATTATGTCTCTCTTCTTACTATCTCTGTCCATATTGGTTTACCACTGTTAATTTAGTTTCTCTGCTCCTTAAAATTCTGATCTGTACTTCAGAGTTATCCAAGGTCAAAATGATTTCTTATGGGTAACTCTATTATTGTTAAATGTTGCCAACTATGCCTCATAGTAACCCTATGATCAAGTTTCAAACCTTGCCCTTTCCTGCATCATTCTCATCATCGCTGAAACACTTAAGCCTACTGTTTATTACACTCACTGTGTCAAGGTATCTTTTTGAGAGTCTTCCTATCTTTC